AACCACTACAAGGCATTGTCTACATTGTTTCAAGTTGGAATTCTTTCATCATATTCTCTATTTTCCCTGTTTTCATTGCATATTATTGGAGTTATCATGTCATCTTACTATTCACAATAGCATGCAAATATTGTAATTATATCTGACATTTAAAAATTATTCCACTTTACTTTTATCATATTACTAATCCCTTTACATATTGAGGAAATTATTGAATTACAGTTGCAAAGATTTCCCTAAAATTTTAATGAAATTAATGCAAATATTTTCATGTAACATTTCCTATCACCTGTGGTTTTATTTTCTCATTGAGTTTTTTGGTATATTTTAGTTATACAGTACAGTTACATTCATCATTGGGAACTTGTGCCTTACATAAGACATCATAGTTCTCATTTTCCCCCTTACCCTTGCCCTTCCTTCACCCCCAACTCCCTTCCCTATTTACAAATACTTTATTTCCATTTTTTCAATTTCTCATATTTTTTCTTTTCCCTTATTTACTTTCCCATACCCTTCCAACTTTCCCTACACCTTTATCCCTTTTCTTCCTATTTCACATTGTCAATTATACCATTAGGATCCTATGTACAATTATAGTTTTTCACACAAGAGAAACTGTTCAGTATTTACACATGTGTCTTACTTATTTCACTTAGGAGTATTTTCTCAATATGTATCCATTTTTCTAAGAAGGAATATAATTTCTCATTTTTTATGTCTGAGTAGTATTCCATTTTATAGAAAAACCACATCTTCTTTATCCAGTCTCCAAATGATGGGCAAATGGGCTGTTTCCAAGTTTTAGCTATTACAAACTGTGCAGTTATAAACATAGGTGTGCATATATCACTGTGATATGATTCTTTTAAGTATTTTGGAAAGATACCCATCAGAGGATGGCTGGGTCAAATGGAACCTCTAGTCCCAGCTCTTTGAGGTATCTCCAAATTGAATTCCATAGAATTCCATAGAATTCAATTGGCTCCTTTTTCAAATATGAGGTAGCTGAGTACATCTGGAGTTGTTTCTGTATGTTCCAATCCACACTCCCAACCACAATGGAAAACAATTCTTTTCTCCCCACATCCCCTCTGATATTTGTTATTGTTTGATTTCTTGATAGCAGCCTTTCTTCTTGGGGTGAGGTGGAATCTCAGTGTTGTTTTCATCTGCATCTCTCGAATGACCAGAGATGTGGAACATTTTTTTAATATATTTACTTGCTGCTTTTACTTTTTTTCTGAGAAATGTCTATTTCTCATTCTTTGCGGTTGAGTAGTATTCCAATTTATAGAAAAAACACATCTTCTATATCCAGTTTCCAAATGATGGAAAATGGGCTGTTTGCAATTTTAGCCATTACAAAATGTGCCACTATAAACATGGGTGTGCATGGAGAAGGATTCCTTTCTCCCCACAACTCTGCCAACATTTGTTATTGGTTGATTTCTTGATAGCAGCCATTCTTTGTGGGTGAGGTGAAATCTCAGTGTTGTTTTCATCTGCATCTCTCAAATGTCCAGTGATGTGGAACATTTTTCATGTATTTGCTTGCTGCTTTTACTTCTTTGTCTGAGAAATGTCTGTTCATTTCAGATGCCCACTTTTCAGTCAGGTCTTATATTCGAAGGGGGCTGATTGTTTTGAGTTCTGTATATAATCTAGATAATAGTTCTTTGTCTGAGGAGCAACTGGTAATTTTTTCCCACATTGTAGGTTGTCCTTTAGTTCTGTTGTTGGTGTCTTTTGCAGTGCAGAAGCTTTTTAATAAGATGAGATCCCAGCTGTTGTTTCGTTGTGTTAGTTCCTGTGCTACTGAGGATTTGTTCATAAAGTCTTTTCCTATACCAATGTCTTCAATAGTTCTGCCTAACCTATCTTCCAGAAAATTTATTGACTCTTTTTAATATTTAGATCTTTAATCCACTTGTATTTTATTTTAATGCATGGTGAAAGATAAAGGTCTGGTTTTAATCTTTGGCAAGTTGAAATCCAGTTTTTCCCACACCATTTTATTAAAGAGGCTCTCTTTCTTCAAGTGAGGATGGTTGGCTCCTTTTTCAAATATGAGGTAGCTGAGTACATCTGGAGTTGTTTCTGTATGTTCCAATCTATTACATTGATCCTCAGGGCTGTTTCTTTGCCAGTACCATGCTGCTGTGTTTTGAGAATAATCCTTATCTATTGTTTGCAAAAATGTCCTTGTTTTCTTTGTTTGCTAACCATCTTCAAACTGTATGTTAAGAATGTATGTTCCTATTAGATTTGCTCAACCTTGGTTTTCTATTGTAAATATAGTTAGGGTTTACCTCATTGACTTATTTTCTGATGAATTACATTAACTAACATTGTGTTAAGCAGTCTTAAATCTATAGAATTGTTATTCCTCATTTGTTATTTGTTATTTTTTTTAAAAAATGGCTATAGTTGTATTTTATTTTACTTTACTACTCAGCATTTGCTTTATCTTCAGTCTTTTTTTTTTTTTTTTTTTTTTTTTTTTTTTGTACCGGGTATTGAACTCGGGTCTTTGCACTTGCAAGGCAGGGCAACCAACTGCTGAGCTAAATCCCCAGCCAATCTTCAGGCTTCTGATAGGTTTGAGGATTTATTTTTGTGTTATAGTAGATATATTTGTTCTGATATTTATTATATATTAAATTTAGAATTGCTCAGAATTTACAATGTGATTGGTGCCGAGACCCTGAAAAAATCTATGTTGAACCAAAACTGTCCCACACTCAGAGCCGCTGATAAACAGAATGTTCTCCCTCCTGTACCAAGCTCAGTCTTTGATATGGAAACTAAAAGTTCTGTCCCAAAGCTTAGACATTGCTTCCTTCCTGTTCTCCTCTGTTTGGCAATGACCCACCCCTCTTCTCTCAGCTTAAATTATTTTACCTAAAGAAAGCACTCCTACCCACCATGGCAGAGTAACCATGCTCCATGATGTTTTCTGTCTTGAATTAATTAACAATCTCTAGGCACTCCTACACTGACTTTATATGAGGCAGAATGTAGGACTTCACTGAAAATCTTATTGTACCTCTTAATCATTGCAAGACATGTTTATTTGTATAATTTTGGAATGTTTATAATCAAATTCATCAATACATATTTTGACATTTACAGCAGCTGATGTAACACAATACACATCCTGACTCCAGGGCATGGATCCCTAAGCACACTTTTTTATTTGACTCATTTGATTTGGATAAGGTGCTTTTCTCTTCTTCTTTTATTTATATAGTCCACATTTTTTTTTCTACTTGGAACAATTTTTTGAGGTATTCTGTAAAAGAAAAATCCATAGCGATCATCATTAATGGGAAAACCTGTATGTCAGACTGAAGGGATGTGGAGCATGTTGTGTTTATATTAGAATATATATTCTTTTGGCTGCACATGGGTTATTCTCCAAAAACTGGATGCACATTGAGGCCATACTCTTAAGTGAAATTAATAGAACACACATGTAAATACTGAATAGTTCCTTGGGTGTAAAAATATAAAAATATAAATAAGGATCAAAATGTATATTGTATATGTATATTGTGTAACAGGAAGAAATGTTCTAAAGGAGTAGGGGAAGGAGGATGGGTAGGGGAAAGGGAAAAAGGGAAAAGAAAAACATGAGAAAGGGAAAACAGGAAAGCAAAGTCTTTGTAAATAGGTAGAGTGGTGGGGTTGAAGAAAGAGCAGGGGAATGGGGAAAAAGAAGAACCAAGATATGTTATATAAAGATACAAGATCACGATGATTAATATAACTGCATTGTATACCTAAGTTGTACTAATGAAGTTAATGTAAAAAAACAACAACATAATTCCATTTGTGATATCAGTGATTGGTTAAGGGACAATTGTTAAATGATAGTCACCCAAAATATTTTCATTGAGAAGTGAAGGACAGAAGCTGATTTTTAGGAACAGATCATTTCAACAAAGAAACCAAAGAAAAGCAATTACATCAATGTATTTAATTTTTCCTTTGTCCTAAACTGAATTGAACATTTATCAGTCCTACTGTAGAGGTGAGGTCTTTGCAGCTGAGAGAGATTAAAGTGTTATCTGAAGATCAAAACTTTACGTTCCTGAATTCTGATCCAAGAGCTCTTACTCAAGAACTGAATTTTTATATCAAATCTTTGTAGGCTGTGTTACCCCCTAAATGTGACCTACCTTGAGAATAATTAGTCTTGAAAGCTGGAGATAAAAAATGAGAGCCTCGATCACCCTGCCTTACCAGTATTAGGGAGCAGCCACTGAGCAAATTAATAGGGAGGTTTAATCTTCTTGTCTCTGGGGACCAACACGGGAAAGAACAGTGCTCATTTTCCAGTTAGGTCTTATCTTCTGGGAAATACTGTGCAGTTGTGTCTTGGAGAGATCTATATCCAGAGTAATTGTGAGAAAAAGAAAATATTAATGTAACAAGGGTAATTTTGATAAATGTCATTATGGAGGCTATTACTCTGAACAGAGTCAGTTTTGAACACTGCATTGTTTTAGTATTAGCTACATTTTTAGAAAGAAAAAAAATAAGGCATGTTAAGTGAGCTGTAGCATCAGTATAAATGGTAACTCACAAAATAAAGGTTGTTTGTGTTTAAAATATATTTTCATTCATTTTAGTAGAGATACTGAAATAAAGAAGCAAGGAAGTTATCAAATAGTATACATGAAAAATCTTCAAATTTTCTGGAAAAGTGAGAGCAAACACAAACTTTATACTGCATCCACAAATTCAAATGGGAATGATGGAATCAATGCTATAAGATGAAGAAATTTCAGTTACACTACAGAAAGTGTAAATGCTTATGTAAATTTAAGAATGAAACAAGCTACAACTTGGCTGCAGGAACCACTGTCATTGGCTCAGTAACGGATGAAGGGGGTCCATCCAGAGGAGACACTGTGAATGGTGACTGCCTGTCTTTCAGGATCTGTTCATTGAATGTTGCTATTTCTTCCTGCTCTGGAAGACGAACCAGTGAGATGGAAAGAGAAAACCACACAGGAATATCACAATTCCTTCTCCTGGGCCTCTCAGATGATCCTGAACTGCAGCCCTTTCTCTTTGGACTGTTTCTATCCATGTACCTGCTTGTGGTGCTTGGGAACCTGCTCATCATCCTGCTCGTCAGCTCTGACTCCCATCTCCACACCCCCATGTATTTCTTCCTCTCCAACCTGTCTTTTGTGGACATCTGTTTCACCTCCACTACAGTCCCAAATATGTTGGAGAACATCCAAGCACACAATAAAGATATTACCTACACAGAATGCTTCACTCAGGTGTATTTTTTTATGATATTTTTTGGAATGGATAATTTCCTCCTGACAGTGATGGCCTATGACCGCTTTGTGGCCATCTGTCATCCCCTGAAATACATGAACATCATGACCCCCCGGCTATGTGTCCTACTCGTTCTGGCATCCTGGATCATGATTTTCTGTGTCTCCCTGCTTCATATTTTCCTGCTGATGCAACTGACCTTCTCTATTGCCACTGAAATCCCACATTTCTTTTGTGAACTGGCTCTGCTTATCAAAGTGGCTACCTTTGATATTCTTGTCAAGGTCAATATTGTCCTAATGTATGTGTCAACTATCCTGCTGGTTGTGTGTCCCATCACTGGGATCCTCTTCTCTTACTCTCAGATTGTCTTCTCCTTAATGAGAATGTCCTCCAGTGCAAGCAAGCATAAAGCATTTTCCACCTGTGGATCTCACCTCTGTGTGGTTTCGCTGTTCTATGGAACAGGACTTGGAGTATATCTCAGTTCTGCTGTGACCCATTCTTCCCGTGAAAGCTCCATTGCCTCTGTCATGTACACTTTGGCAATCCCCATGCTGAATCCCTTCATCTACAGCCTAAGGAATAAGGATGTGAAGGGAGCCCTAGGGAGACTCCTCAGCAGAGCAGCCTCTGGTCTCTGATGACCCACTCACTTTCAACTTAGTGGTCATGTGTGCATTTAGTCTGTGATGAGAATTTACACTTATTACATGGTGTGTGTATATATATATATATATATAT